CCTTTATCCTTAAGATGCAGATGGACTGCTGAGTCTTGTCCTGTGGAGGTGGCTCTTCTGTGTTGTTATTTTTCCTCTTTGATGTTCAGCCTGCATTAAGACAGCTGTAAATGTAAATACAGCACTTTGAGTGAAAATCCAACAGAGGGCGCTCTGAGCCAGGGCAGCTCTGTCTCTGCTGCTGTGCTTTATTTGAACCATTTAAACTCGTGTGTGTGTGTTTGATTAGTGATTATTCAGCTCATCAGAGCTGCTTCAGTGTTTCACTCTGAGAGTTTATTTCAGCTTCACTGTGCAGCACATGTTGGCTTTATTTTGGAATTATTTTCTTTGCTCCCCTTTTCTCACTCTTTAAATAAAAATCCCCATGATGCTGTTTGTGAGGCCACTGTGGAGCTCAGCTTCATTTTCTCCCACAGTAGAAGTCACGGGATTAATCCCCTGAGGATCCCTCAGTTCTGGTTTGAGACTTTTCACTTTTGTTAGTCTGTATTGTTAGGGACTGACAGCGTCATTGATATCAGCCGATATTCACCTTGTCTACCTGGTTTCATTCTGCGTTGGAAGTTGTGTGAAGCATAATTGGTATAAGGAGTGGTGAGTTTAGCAGCTCTCTGTTTCAGTAAGGTGTTTGTAAAATGAGGCAGGATCCTCATGAGTCCAGCAAACCACCTCCCTCATGGTGTCAAAGCTTCTCAAATCTATAATAACTCTGAGTGTGTTCAGATCAAATAGTTTTTTATTCAGTTAAATTCAGGTGCTGCTGAGATGTTTTCTTATCATTCTACAAAGTTTGAATCGTGTTCTTCCAGCTCCAAACCCTGCAGAACTAAACAGTCAAATTCAAGGAGGCCTACATGCTGGTTTTATATCAGCTAACACTTTCAAGGCTCAGGTGTTGTTTTAGACTGAAGTCTGCTTTAAAGCTCACAGAACAATGAAAATGTTTGGAAATAATTTTGCAGCCAGAAGAAATAAAAACAAAGAAATAAAGTTGCTCCCATGGATCTTTATTCCTTATTGATGCTCATTAGAGGAAGATCAGAGGAATTCATCAAATCCATCCAATATTTCAATGAAATCGATTTCTGTTCCTCCATCCATCCATCCATTCGCTTCCGCTTATCCTTTTCAGGGTCGCGGGGGGCGCTGGAGCCTATCCCAGCTGTCATAGGGCGAGAGGCAGGGTACACCCTGGACAGGTCGCCAGTCTGTCGCAGGGCCAACACACAGGGACAGACAACCATTCGCACTCACATTCATTCGCACATTCACACCTAGTGACAATTTGGATTTTCCAATTAACCTATGCCCACAAGCTGCATGTCTTTGGACAGTGGGAGGAGGCCAGAGTACCCGATTTCTGTTCCTTTTGGAGTGAAAATGTTTGGGAGGTTTTAGATATTTCTAGATGTCGATGAGCAGTTGGAATCATGAAGACATAAAAATACTGTTGTTATGAACTGTAACAAACATGTAATGGCAGCAGACTCAGATGTGTGAAAAGTAAGATTTACTGTTCATCTGAAGATATCTCAGGCTGTTCTTCGTCTTTTTTGTGGCATGATCATTACGGTAAATAAGACTGTACTGTGAGGTATATTTTTAAAAGCATGTCTTTGACTTTGTGCTTCGGCTTTTTAAAATCGTGTTTAGAATGAACTTCTCATTGTTGTTTGTAGCCTGCAAAGTAAAACATGTTTCACACTTCTCCTTCAAACGGTCTCCTGTATTCTGACGGATCTTCCAGCGACGGTGATGCTATTTTCCAGTGATCTGATTTGTCAATAGGTGTGCTCTTCTGCTCTGCAGCAGGTTAGGTCTGTGTCTTCATAGCTCTGAAGCAGGATTTGAGCCTTAGTGAGCTAACTTTAGGTTTAATCCCAAGTTTTCAGAGTACAGACCTGAGGCTACCATCAGCTTTGAGTGCCAGGCTAAACTTTCAATACTCCTATTTCTAAATTTGATCTGTCTGGTAAAGATTTTTTAAGCCTTTCCTCCAGTGGGTTTAAGAAGGTATCTGCCTCTATATTCCCTCCAGCACAGCTGGTACTGTAGTCACTGTATGTGGCATCTCCTCGAGCATCCCTGATGGACTGAAAAGTCAGTCAGAGTGGTAAAGAAACAGACAGATTTTTGCCACTGAGCTCCTCCTTTAGATGGAAACCCCTCTGAGGTGGATGTTTTTGGATCTGATGGGTCATATTGGTAGTTACAGCTGATCTACGGGGCCTAACTCTTTAGTTTACAAGCTCCACAGTGACACAGCATAAATATTTAAACACATCCCGTGGATCACTGGCTCCTAACGGAGCATTTCATACATGGATCAAAGCGAGGCATGGGGATGAGACTGACTGCCCGAGTCTTCTTTCTGCCATCAGACCTTGAAGCGGTTGCACTGGCATCTCTCAGGCCCGCCTGTTTCATCAGTATGCACATGCTGCTGGAAATTAATTTGATTAAAGGCCCTCTGTTTGCACCTCCACCCGCCCGGCTCCTCCTGTTTAAAAGCCCTCATAGTGTATGATTAGCGCGCATTTCCCCAACCTGGCTGGGAGTGGCGGCTGGGTCGGGAGGTCGCGCAAATGAAAGAGAACAACTTCATTGTGAGATGACTGGCCCATAAATCATCGGCCGTTTTCTATAAATCACGGCAGATGGCAGGGAGCGAGCCGAGGCTCATGGGAGCTTGACGCAGCCCCTGTGCATGATGGGAAGGGCCGGGCCGAGCTGCGGCGGAGGCTAGCAGAAGTGCGGGGTCAGTTCCAGTTTGCGGAAGACGTGAGGTGCGGTGGAGGCGGGCCAGAGCCTCCCCCCACCACCCTGTCTCACCTGATGAGATGCAGACCCCGGAGGTCCTGGTCCCGCCCCTCATCACGCTGCCCTCCATTTAACGGGTCTAATCTGCCTGCTTAATATGGAGACAACTTCATCTCCCCCTCGTCCCCGAGCTGCTCCGAGAGCTGTCAAGTTGACACTAAATGTCCGCCCAGGAGGGCCGACTCACACCTTCATTATTCATCATGATTATTTAACAGAGCAGGATCCACTGCAGCCTGACTCTGCTGCAACACTCGCCTTTAGCACCTTCTACATTTCACGTGTTCATACGCAAGAACAGGAAAGTCTACTTTTTCTGCTTCTAAAGAACAATTTAAAACTATCAACAGAGTGTGAAACAACAACAGCTGTGACATTCACACAGTGGGGCACATACAGCCCAATTTGACCTTAACAAGTAAATTTAGCCTGTATAACACAAAGCAACAGATGAACTCTTTACAATTCTCCTTTTTCACTGCAAAGATATCAGACTTCACATTTTATTTCTACACTATACAGAAATACTGTTGCAGTAAATGAAAGAAGCCCATCAGGATGGCTGTTCAAGCCTAAACTTCAAGAAATAACTGTGTAAATTTACAGAAAAACTCTGGCAGCTCAATGAAATAACAATGGGCGAAATAACTTTTGGCAGTAAGCTTCCAACTATGATGCAAGTGACTGAAGCCAATACCAATGAAAATGAAGGACAGTGATGACTAACATATAACATATGGTAAATATAATATAGGATTACCTAGGCAACCAGAATGTCCATTAGCAACTGACCATCAGTGACATTAACCATCATGTAACAAGCAAATTTTATGTGTGGAAACTTATTTTGTTCAAACAGAGCTGTGATGCACTGTCATGTAATATTACTTTAAACCACCAGATGGAGTAGTGAGTCACCGTCGTATCCAACATTATTCAAGCTAATGTTAGCTCAACATTTAATCAGACAATTTATTTGAATGAATACACTGAAATATGAATTAGAAGTTGCCTTTCAAGTTAGAAAAAGAAAACAGAGCATAGACATGGGGCAAAACTATCATTACTGGAGACTTAACACTCATCAAAATTGAATGTAAGACATTTTAATCCTTTTTAAGACATTATATTAACAAATTTGTATTTAAGACTTTTAAAAGTTTTTTAAAAATTTTTTTTAAACCTTTAAAACCAAAGTTACATCAAAGTTACTGATGTTGAAATCTGGTTATGCTGCACC